ATATGTATATATATAACCATTTAAGCATAATTAATCCCTCCTACTCCCTGATTTGCTGTGAATCTTAGCCGGAAAATGGATAACTGCTCTCAAAAGGGCTTTTTGTAGAGTAAAAAGCTGATGTCAATGAATTTTTCGTGGTGTTAAGTAATGTAATTTACATATAGCTGTAAATGCATATAAATTTGTATTAAATTTCATCTGATTTGAGTAACCCATTTTAATTCCTCTCCAGTTTGTGTGTTCTGCTGCTCGTCCGAATTTGTTGGCTAAGAGCATAGTTTTTTGGTTGAAGGTACTTAGAAAATTAGTAAAGAGAACTGAAAAGAATCTAGATTTGAATGCGAAAAAATCATATGAGATAAGAAGCAACACTTGCAAATGTGTTTGGGTTAAATTAAGTTGATTTAAAACTTCAATAAAATTTAAGAAATTTGTGTTGCCTAGACCATTTACGTTAGGAGGCAACTCGAGATGACCCGAGTAAAGAGACTTGTAACGAGGCTGACTCGATCACCCATATGAGATACTTAACTACTAAATTAATAAGCAAAATGCTCTAGAGGACTATTACTTGCTACTACCTATTTATTATGTGATTGCATTCAGAAATTCTTTCATATTGAACATAAATATTATGGCCAGCCTAATTTTGATAATGCAAATGAATACCTACATATTCTTAATTTACAGTATTTCCTAGAAATGAAATATGAAATATCTATTATAAATATATGTTATTACTTGTCACATTATATTTCTTGAACATGTTACTAAATTAATTGTTGTGGGTTCATTCAAATTAAAAAATAAATGCATAAGAAAATATTTGTAACGAATAAAGATGATCAAGAAAATATCATGTAGTTATAATAGATAGACAATTATACTAATGATCTTACAAGAAAGGCAAGAGTTCTGATGAGATGAGCTCTGATAGAACAATGATTAAATTCCCAACTCTTAATGTTAAAGTTGAGACAGAACAATTGGTATCAGAGGGTTTTTTTATTAAGAATGATGTTAAGACGACCAACCTTCATTCACAATTGTTATAGCTGATGAGCTGGGTGAAAACCCAATAAAATGAAATAAGTAAAAAAATACATAAATATAGTGACATATACAACAACAACGACGACGACAAGCCTTTGTCACAATAAGTGGGGTCGGCTACATGAATCCTTTCCTCCATTGTGTCCTATTGAGTGCCATATTTTCATTTAATTCAATTAAATTAATATCATTTTTTATACAATATGCCCATGTCTTTTTAGGTGTACCTCTGTCTTTCTTAGCATAAGTTGAATCTAAAATATCTACTCTTCTAACCGGAACATTAGATGGACGACGTTTAATGTGATAGTGTGACATATCTAAGAAAAAAATATTATACAATATGCCCATGTCTTTTTAGGTGTACCTCGGTCTTTCTTAGCATAAGTTGAATCTAAAATATCTACTCTCCTAACCGGAACATTAGATGGACGGCGTTTAATGTGATAGCGTGACATATCTAAGAAAAAATTTAGAATAATAATAAAAACAAGAGTAAGACAAATGCACATAACATTGCATTGCATAACGACCTATAAAATTTGTCGGCATCAATTATATATATAATTTTCACAATTGTTGAATCTATTATATTAGCATTTTAACTAAGAATTAATATTGTTACTAATATTAATTATTGATCAACATAGATGTTGTTCTTTTCTTAAATGTTTGAATATTATTTTAGTATTTTATTTTGTTTAACTTATAACTTACAAGATATTGTATTATTTTTTGGAGTGGGGTAAGGAGCATATGAACGGTTAGCCAGATGACCCATCTTCTATCTAATTTTGCTTCCTCGTTTATATTTGATATCAGAGAATTAGTTTAAGGATTGAAATGTAAGAGTTTGCTTGTAAAAATTTGGTAAAACTAAATTCTACTCACCTGATCTTAATAAACACTTAATGATAAGTGTTGGTAGAAAATTTTATTCTACTAAGTCAATTCTCCTCAATTACATCTCAGGCTGACTTGAAGCGTTGACTGAGATATGACAAATGCCTCCTACGAACCTTCATAGAAGTCAAAAATAAGTTGAAAGCTGGACTTTTCTTCCAGTAGCACCTCCAACAATCATCTACAACTAACTGAAGAGACTGGCTCTTATGATATTTGATTTTTTTCTTTCTTGGTGGAGGAGGTATAATATACTAACAATACATACTATTTAACTTAGTTCAACGTAGAGTGTCTATCTTCTTCAATCTAATCATGAGAGGTAAGGCCGTTTAGCATGGGATATAAACATTTTAAGTCCATGTTCGATTGACAGTGTCATCATAAGAAGTGAGGCCTTTTAGCTTAGGATTTACGATCATTTAAGTTTCTACTCAATTGAGAATATAGGCCTACGAATAATATAAAAATATTTTAGTGATAAGCCCCACCTTCAGATAAAGTCAATAACAATTCCTTATATCTCCATCTCTAGGATATTTTTCTCCCTTATTTTTCTTTGTATGAGAATACTAAGAGTTATGTTATGGTCTGCTGATTATAAAAAGTCATTTTATTTTGATATGAATACAATGATATTATTCATCAAGCCACTTATCCCCATAGATGTTAATAGAATGTTGCTAAATGCAGAAAAATTGTCGTTTGTTTGATATTTTCAGGACATTAATGTTTCATGTGAATGTATCAAAGAATATTAGCAGGAAGATCTTAAATAACGCCAATTATGTATATGCTTAAGATGTGAATATGAGATAGTATAATATTCAAATTAGGTGATTAGATAATATCTCATTTAAACACTAAATTCATACTCAATAAATTAATTATTAGAAAATTTCATCCATCTAAAACAGCAAATTAGGATGAATGCTTACACACAAATCCTCAAAAATTTTGATATTATTCCAAATTTCTTATGAACTTTAATTTAATATACATCATGAATCATTAATCAATGCCATGAATGCTTCCATCTTTCACCTCTTCATTGAAGATCCCAATTCAACAAACCTTGTTATAATTTCTCAGCAATCAGCTAACATTGTTCTTAAAGCTATTCAGAGTGGAAATCATATCCATTATTGATGGTTGATATAACAGGTACCAAGTGCACCAAAGGGAGAGACTTGCATGTAATGATTTAGGGATATTTCTATATAAAATTCAAGAGTAATAATTAAATCTATTGGAAGAATATGAAATAAAAAAATTTGACGAATGCAAGTCTTTCAAAACTCGGTAGATTGATACAAGGCTTCTATTCCTATGGTTCCTCCGCCGATCACCAACAACTAATAGCCACAATAAACTCATGCAGCCTGCTATTGCTCTTTTTTTCTTTTTTAATATTTTGCTCTTTGATGACGGAAGAGGCATGTTATACGTGCAACACTTCGTGAACAACCAACTCTAATTGGGGATGTCTTCTTCCTTTTATAGTTATCTAATTATGAGAACCATGATCTTTAAGCGAGAATTGTGAGCTTAATTATCTTCCAAAATTAGATTTACGACTATTTGAGTCTCTAAAGAAAAATGGATGGTATCGCGAATCAACCATTCTTTTATTAAGTTTCCATGTCCTCAGAACAAGTCAAAGCCACTTAGGAGAGATATCTATCTCCATCTATGGGGCCAAATATTTTCTTATATTTATGAACAAAACATGTCACGGTATTTGCTATTATAAATAGGGATCTCAAGTTTGTACAAGACTCCTGATATTTTATTTTGAATAAAATGTTAGTAGAATGTGCAATTCTTCTACTTCTAAAATAAACGCTTAATCAAGCAACAAATCTGAATAGTTTTGAGAAAAATTATCCCTTTGTACAAGATTGATGCTTGATTTTACTGATTCGAGGCTTCTTCTCTTTTATTTTCATTCAATACTCAAAATTTTGATATTTGATTGATCATTAATTGAGTTTATACATTTATGATAAAATATAAGTTCACTAAGAGCGTGCTTTAAATAATTGCATGATTTTCGTAATTATAAAGTTTTATGTGTTATTTCTAATAAAAGTCCGTTGAATTTTAATATAGAATTAGCTTCTTCATGTTTTCATTTTTCATTAAAAGGAAATAAGTAATATTAAAGATTATTAGTTTCTGGCCTATGAATAATGTAAGCTTGTTGCATTAATTTTGTGCAACACATAATAGCTATTCATTGGAAACCCTAAACCCTAAAATATCCTAATCAGAAGTTCTCTTTCATCAACTGAGGAGATAATTAACCATGACAGCTTGCAGCCATGAAAGCCTTGAAACAAAATTATAAAGTCCTTTAGGGTGCACTGTATAAAAAATGCTTTATCTGCACTCAATGTACATTCTGAAAAACCATCTCAGATACATTCTTCATAAGGAGTAGGGAGATGAATGTTGTTATGGAAGACTAGCATTAAAACCATGCCAAAACAAGAAGATGAATTCTAATCAACAATGAACAACGGAGATAAGCTTGAAAAGAAGAGAAAATTTAAGCACATAAAATGAGCATAAAATTCTGCCATGATAATGATAAAACAAAATTAAAAGATGCCTAAGTTACATCGGTCCAGGCAACATGGATCAATATCATTAAATAATGAGAAAATGATATAGCTATAACTATTAGAATAAAAAAAATTAACAACAAAACTGGGTAGAAGAAAAAAGGGGACTATTAATAAGATAACAAAAATAAGTAGGGGAAAGAAAAAAAAGATAATAAGTTGGTAAAAAAAATTTGAAAAAACATAAACATTACAAGCCTCTAGTCAAATATACGATGAGGAAGGGGTTTGATATACAAAGGCTACCCCAACATTTTAGAGTCATTATTTCCATGTTATCAAATGAGATTTAGATAAATTAAAATAACTACTTGATGTAGCTTTAAAAATTTTTCAGTAAGAAAAGACTTGAATGTCGATCATTAATAGTTAAGAGGGGATGTTGACAAGATGTTGCTTAACTGCGTAGTTTCAAAAATTTAGTCAATGCAGGGAAACATTAGCGGAACCGAACCATAAGCCTAATGAATGGACATCCACGAGTTTGGGATAGCAAAATGAATAATTAAAATAAACTATCCTAAAGTAGTCTTTAAAATGGATGTTTTACTAGGTTAAGCACAGTGTACAAAAACCAGCTTAAAAGTAAACCTTGGGCAAGCTTCCACACCCTATAAAGTGCTTTGCACTGTTGTCTCTCCAGCAAAAAGTAGCTAATTGTTGTGAAAAATGGTATATAGAACAAGTCTGCCTCTTCTTGCTGATGAACCCTGATAACATTTTTCAAAAGCCTCTCTGATTGTGGCGCAATCAAATCTGCCCATAACCAATAATCAATGGAATGCTGCAAAATTATCAATAAGTAAAGAGAAATTATTTTATATCCAGAAAGCATTAGAATGTAATAGATCTACAAGATGTTGGATAATAAAGCGTTAAAACTATTTGCCTAATCAACAAGCAAAAGCTTCTACAAAGAAATAAAACAATAACGAAAAAACAATGACAAGAGAATAAACCAATAGAATAATGGTGCAAATTCTAACAATATGATATAGCATGCTTTTGAGGGTCCATTTGGGGCGGCTACAACAATTTTTAAAAGTATTTGTAGAGCTCTTGTAAAACATATTTTTTTTAAAGATGCTATGATTATCATAATTTTATTCCTTTTGAAAAGGTGGAACAACAACCTCCTGATAGCAACCACACTAGCATTTCTAGATGTAAAGAGCGCATTCTCACCATAAAAATTTCTGAAAAAGCAAGAAAAAAGCAGTAGACAAACATTTGGCAAAAATTTGAAAGAACAAAGAAGTGAAAAATTTGCGCCAAACAAATCCTAAATTTCTTAAAGGAATGTGGACAAAACTTCTAAAATTTGAAGAAAAATGTAATATACTCCATTTTCAGTAATTCATTTTATTGCTAAATATCTGGAACTCCAATCCGAGATCTTTATTAAAAAAACTTAACATTTTATCTTATTAGGAACGTCAACAAAACATCCAAAATATATAGTAAAATGGAAAATACTCTATCTTCAGTCACCCATCCTGTAGCTAAATGTTTGTTTCGAAGTCAAATCTGAGGTCACTATTCAAGAAATTTAACCTTGGTAGGTAATTTACTACTTTTCAGTGATTGTATAGCCGGTATTACCAGTTCTTTCTTCCAAATGCAATCTATTTGATTAGAATTATCTTAATTAAAAAAACACAATATTAAAAATTATCAAAAGTGATCCAAGTCTTTCTTTTACTTAATGGGTATTTTTTTAATTGATGTAATCTAGACAAAACCTGCTTTGGGATGCTATTTAGATTATCTTGATCTAATATATTTAGACTAACCCAATCTAGAAAATAGGAGTAAATCAAACACCTTTTTTTCCATATTTGATAACAGTACTATCAATATAGCATTCAGTGAACGCCCCTTCAGTCTCTTCCCTTCCATTAATGGACTGTAGATTTTTTAAGTATGGCGTACATCTATGCATGCAATTAGCACTACAGAAGCAGTCTATTTCATCAAGCATTTTCTTAAAGTAAAAAATGATAATAGTACCAGCAAATTGAAATGAGAATGCTTAACTGAGATGATCAATTAGGATCCTAGTCTTTTTTTTATTGTATTTCTTATCCATAATGTGTCACGACCCGGCTTGATAGTTTAGGATTAACCAAGTCATAAATTGCGATCGGATGGTATTAACAATTAATTTACTTTTTACATATTTTCAAAACTTCCAATATACATAAAAAAGCCACTATAAAACCATAAAGTACACTACAGAGAAATCAAAATGTCCAGAAATAATTACATAGTTTGTAGACAACATCTCAACCCAACATATAACAATATATCACTACCCGAAGAAAATAATACAAAGAAACTACTATCATAATACATATAAGAGGAAATTTTTCCTTGTTGTCATCTCCCTTGCACTCCTTGCTCCTTGTTGTTCTACTGCCGCCAGACCAATCCCTTGCTGCTGCTGCTTTTGCTACCATGCACGGCAACCTGTTGCCCCAAACTTCCTCCTACAGCCAGCCTGTTGGCCAGCAAGTCATTCTACAGCCAACCCACTCTCCCGCTGCCCCCTCCTCCCAATTCGCTCTCTGCTGGGCTATTATTCCCTCCAGGCTCACTTTTACCCCCATTACTTCCCCTCTCACCTGTTGCCTTCATCCTTTTACAGTCGGCCAACCTCCTTTTCCCTTGTTACAATCGCACCCAGCTCTCCTAACTCCTTAACTGCGACATCACCACCCCGCCTACACCCTAGTTTTAGTGTTGTGTCGTTCTTTTTCCAGTTTTGAAAGATTCTTGTTGTAAAAATTGAATTTTAGCAATAATATATTTCAGTTTCTATTGTAGTTTGGGTTAACTCCGGTATCACTAACACTCTGTGTCATGAAGCATTGTAGGTCTCACCACCATTTTATAAAATTTTCTTGTAAGTCTAAGCAGTACTTCTCTATCACCATCACTTTGAACAATAGGCCCAAGATATCAAAAATTCTCCCTCCTTTTAATGATTTGATCACTCATTATTACAACTCTGTCACTAGATCTACTACTACTAAAATTATATTCTATAGATTCAGTTTTAGATCTACTCAAACGAAGGTTTTTAGACTCTAAAGTAGACCTCCATAATTCAAAATTTTTTTCTGAACTCTTTCTATAGACTTATCCACAATAAGGATATCATCAATAAAAAACAAACACCAAGGTACATCCTCCTTTTCAAGTCCAGTAAGAGCATCTATAACTAAAGCAAAAAGATATAGGCTTAAAGCTGATCTCTAATGTAATCCAACTAAAATATAAAAATATTTGTTCAATCATCCTTTTGCTCGAACAGAAGTAACAACTGTAGTATACATATCTTTAATAACTTAAATATAAGTAATATCAACACATTTCTTTTCTAGAACTCTCCAAAAAACTTCTCTTAGAATCTTATCATAAGCTTTTTCTAAATCAATAAAAATTATATGTGGATCCTCCTTACTCTCTTTGTACTTCTCTATCAAACCTATCAATAAATATATCCATTCCATAGTAGACTTGCTTGGCATAAATCCAAATTGATTATGAGAAATATTTGTATCACATCTAAAACTATGTTAAATTAATCTCTCTCTCTCATAATTTAAATGTATAACGCATTAACTTAATGCCTTTATAGTTTGTATATTCTTGTGCATCTTCTTTACTTAAAAATGGGGGACCAAAATACTCTTCCTCCCCCATGCATCTTTTTAGTTTTTAAAATAATATTAAAAAATTTAGTAAGCCAAGAAATTCCTATATCTTTTAAATATTTCCACACTTCTATTGGGAAACAATAAGATCCCACTGATTTTTCACCTTGATTTTCTTTAAAGCCTCATCAACTTCATTTTTACTAATGTGACTATACAACTAAAAAGTTTTAGTATTATTAATGATGTCAAGAAAGTTGATTGTATTTTCAAAAACTTCATTAAAACATTTATCAAAATATCTCACCCACCTATGTTGAATATCTTCATCCAAGAAAAACAATTTTATGATTTTAATCTTTAATACACTTGAATTAACTCTTTACTTTTATTTTTGTTTGACTAGTTTATATAAATATCTTTCACTCTCTTTAATATCTAATCCAATATAAAGATCACTAAAAATATAGTTTTTAGCACTATAAATAGTTCTCTTAGACTCTCAAGATATCACCTAATTCTCTAAATTTTTACATTTAAACAAATTTTTATAAAAAAAAAATTTATATTTTATCTTTTCTTATATATTATTACTCCATCGCCAACTATTTTTATCTATGAAAAATTTTCATTTTGATTCTCCAAGAACATCTTTTGTCAGTTGTTTAATAGTGTTTGTTACTTTGTCACACATATAATTATTTTCTTCATAAGCAACCCAAATTTAAAATCTTAAAGTTTGCTCATAAAAATATTTTTATTTGTGCCTTTTAAATGTCTTCATCTAATTCTATGGTATTGTTTCATTGTGTTGTTTATCTTTTAACTGTTCATCTTAAAATCCAAAACTAATAATCGATGTTGAAGATCTAAATTTTTATTTGTAATAGCCTTAAAATATTTAAATTCTCGACGATTCATTTTTCTCATAAAAAAATAATCAACTTTTGTTTTATGAGATTCATTCTTATAAGTAATAATATGCTCATCTATTTTCTTAAATAAAGCATTAGTAATAACAAAATCAAAAGCTAAAGCAAATTCCAATATAATTTGACCTTCTTCATTAATTACTTTAAAAACATAGTCATCATAAATATTTTTAAAATCTTAATAGATTAGATACTAAGGAGAGTGAAATATATATGATAAATTAGCCAAACAAAGAGAAAAAAAAAGTAAAGATTTAAATCAAGTAAAGTGTATTAAAGAAGAAAATCAAAAAGTACTTTTCTTAGAAAAAGATATTCAAAATAGGTGGGTGAGTTATTTTGATAAACTTTTTAATAAGTTTCTGAAAATGCGATCGACCTTAGTAATATTAATATAGTGAATAATGATAAAACGTTTCATTTTTACCGTCGCATTAGTAAAAAAGAAGTTGAAGAGGCTTTAAAGAAAACTAAGGGTGGAAAGTCTGTAGAACCTGATGATATCCCAATTGAACTGTGAAAATACTTAGGATATTTGAGAGTTTCTTGGCTTACTAAACTCTTTAATATTATTTTAAAAACTAAAAAGATGCCTGAGGAGTGGAGGAAGAGTATTTTGGTCCCCATTTTTAAGAATAAAAAGGATGCACAAGAGTGTGCAAATTATAGAGGAATTAAGTTGATGTGTCATACTTTAAAGTTATGGGAGAGGGCAATTGAACATAGGTTAAGACGCATTATAAAGATTTCTCATAATCAATTTGGATTTATGCCGAGAAGGTCTACTATGGAAGCTATACATTTATTGAGAGGTTTGATGGAAAATTGAGAGATAATAAGGAGAATGCACATTTGATTTTTATTGATTTAGAAAAAGCTTACGATAAGGTTCCAAGAAATATCCTTTGGAGAGTTCTTGAGAAGAAAGGTGTTGATATGACTTATATTCAAGTCATTATAGATATGTATAAGAGCTATTACTTGTGTTCAAACTGAAGGAGGATTGACCAAATATTTTCCTATTTCTGTTGGATTACATCAGAGATCGGCTTTAAGCCCATATCTTTTTGCTTTAGTTATGGATGGTCTTACTAGATATCTACAGGAGGATGTACCTTGGTGTATGCTTTTTGTTGATGATATCCTTCTTGTGCATAAAACAAGAGAAAAAGTTCAGAAAAAACTTGAATTATGAAGGTCTACATTCGAGTCTAAAGGCCTTCATTTAAGTAGAACTAAAACTGAATACATGGAATGTAATTTTAGTAGTAGTAGCTCTAGTGACAGAAGTGTGACTTTGGGTGATCAAATTATTAAAATGTGTGAACAATTTAGATATC